TGTTAAGCAAATGCACCGACCTCAAATCCTTCTCTCCCTGCCGCTCTGTGCCTGCAGAGCCTCAAGGCACGGAGAAGCAAGGAGATAAGGCACGGAGAGGCAGGGGACAAGTATTTTAGCATGCTACATTTGGTCCAGTGGTTAAGGCCCTGGGCTAGAAAGCAGGAGACGGTAAATTCTGGTCCCATCTTAGCCATGAGTGGCCTTGGGTCAATTATTCTCTCTTAACCCAACTCACCTCCCAGGATTGTTGTTGTGAGGAAAATATGAGAAGGAACATATGTTGGATATGTTCGCTACCTTACTTGTAAAAAAAATAAAGGTGGTGTACAGATAAATAAATAAACCCTTTTCTCCCTTCCTCTCCATGTCTTTTCTCCCTATGAGGGAGTCCACCCAGCAAGTGACAGCAGCTTGAAATTTTCTTTGCTGACTTCCCCACTGATTTTCTAGGCAAACCAGCAAAATAAATTACAAATGGAAATCACATGATTGCGGGGCATTTTAATTTCCTGTTAGCGCCAACAGGTTGTCAAGCACTCAGACTGCGATAACATGTCCGTGGGAGCGTGTGAGTTTTGCAATGGTCAGGAATGCTTTACAAATCATAAATCATTCTTTACAAGGCTGTTGTTCATTCAAAAGGTTGTTAAGCAACCAGTCACTAAGCAAGGTCTATCTGTATTCTGTCCATTAGGATTATCTGTTCAAGGGCACATATTTCTATGGTTGCTTTGAGATAAATTGCTAGTGTTCAACTGGTCAACATACTGTATGCCCACTTCCTAATAACAAGAGCAGTTTGACTGTGGAAACAGTGAATTAGAGACACAGTGAACTTCCCTTTATTGAATGTGCTATCTTTAGAACACCTTTGGAAAGCTAGTACAGTGTTATGAAGACAGCACAGCTTTACAAAGACTCGGGGAGTCATATGTACTGTCAGAAACATCCTCCAGAGAAGCTGGGTCAGGAAAGGAAACAGGTGAAAAAGGTGAAAAGTCTGTGCAAGGAATTGGGAGACAAGACAGCTGGACAAACAAATACTTGGTAGTGCTTGCTGGTGAATTGGGCTGGCCTGGGGAGCAAGTGAATACTTGTTGATATTTACTAAGCATGGGGAGCCACATGGTTCTGGAGAGAGAAGGCAGTTGGACGAATGATTGTTGGCGCTTGTTGGGATGGGCTAGGGTGGTTGAGGTTTCCCAGACAGTGGCAGTGTAGCTCCAGAGCCGCACAAGGCAGGGTGCATGGTAGCCAAAAGGGTATAGATGGGGGGGAGAGATAGGTGGGAGGAGGGAATTGAAGACAGTCTCTTACTTTAATGAGATTTGGGGAGGAACCAAATCTGGAACTGGGATGGTTACTCACTTAATGATCCATGATTCTCAGGTGATAATTGCAATGGAGAGCACCGGGATTGCTGTTGTAAATCAGTACAGTTCCTTGCTTTAAGACAGCACTGAGTTACAACTGCAATCCCAGTCCCAATTGTGGTTGTAAGTCAAGTATAACCTATAAATGGTAGAGGACTAGATAAATTAACTCTACTATATAATTAGTCATACTTGGATTTTCTCACAAAAAAGTGAATGATCATCCAGATCAGAAGTATTCACCAAGCTTAACACTCTGATGAGTGTATGTGCTCAGTTTTTCAGGATTCCCTCAGTTTTGTGCACATTCTAAAACCCTTTAAAAATACTAATTTTAAAAATGCAGACCAATTTTTAATTTTCATAAAAGAAAAAAATTATTTGAGTTAGAATAATAATTACTTAAATCCATTAAATATACATTTTTTCTCTTCAGTCTCAATCAATCAATAAATGTTATTACAGCCTAAGTCCTGATTCAATCAAAATATCTAATATAGAAGTAATTTATATGTCTGTCTGTCTGTCTATCTAGCATCTGATAAACAATAAGTATAATAGGATCTAAAAATATATCAGAGCAGAAAAACTAAAATCAAAATACTATTATAAGAAGTAACAGACCTAACTATGGCATATTATGCATAAGATAGCACAAAACTGGGTAACTTTGGAGGATATTTTTTAGTCTCTTCACTCTAAAATTAGTTTTCAAGCAAATCCATTAAGATTACTATGGTAGAAGAAAGTAATTCCTCATCTATATGCTTCAACCTAAATACAAATATAGTATATGAACAACAAATTCCCTGAATTATTCTAGCTTTGGGTGGAAATAAAATACATATACTAGTAAATTTATGTGGCTTATTTGTCAGCAGTTGTGGAATTAACACTTTCAGATTGGTTTTGCCAACTTACATCTCAACCTAGCACAACAAAATAAAATAAAAATGGTCAATAAAGAATTATTATACAAACATTAAATCCCCCAAATATAATAACTGAAACCAGAATTTACTTTTTCCTATCTATTCTAAATGCAAATGTAATTTAAAGTGAGTAAACATATGCATTGTGACTTGATGATTTATTTTCATCAAATGTATTAAATTATGTCTGTGAAAGTTCTTTACAAAACCATAGAAGGAAATACTTTCTTAGCACTGTCTATGAACAGCATGAATTATTTATTCACAATTTGCTGTCAAAATAAAGTAACATGCTTTTGACAGAGATTGTCTTTGGGGATGTCAAAGTATTTTTTTTTCCAAACAAAAGAGAATGGAAACAGCAACAACTCCTTTGAAGTTATAGTGTTGCTTGTTTGAAGAAACAGTGTTTCCATGTTTGAAGACATGGAACATTTTCATTTAAAGATAATTTCAAAAACTGTATGTATTTACAGTATTCATGACTTTTTGGGTTGAATCATTGATTGGCATTGCAATACATTACACTGCATTCTTGCCAACTGAAAAATTTGAAAATCAGGTGTCAAAAGTTAATGGAGAGAAGAGATAAAAATAATAAGACAAGAAATTTTTCATTCATATCTAATGCCCGCTTGATATTCTGACACAATAACCAACTCATAATCCCCACTTCCATCCTCAGCTTAGAAAGCAAAATTTATAGATGAAGAAGACTTACTTTTTACAAAATGCAACATGCATGTTTTTTTTCAAATGAGATTTTTAAAATTTGCTGTTACTATTGGTACCCAGAGAGAAGGATCAAAACAGTGGTGATAAAGCAGTTTTTATTGATCTCATACGACCTTTTATTTATAGCAAATCACTTTTGGTATCCATTCTACATTAATTTAAAAACTTTTCAGAATAATTTCGGGAATCTCTGAAAAAGTTATATCAGAATTCCCCAGTTTATATCTATTTGGGATTAAAGTACAGATCAAAACTGTCATACTAATTTAACCCTTCAAGACTGATCTAGGATTTCTGGTTTAAAATGATCTAAAAAGCACTATTTAAAAAGATCAGTCTTTGTAAAAGTTTCTAAATCTTGTGAAAAGCTGACAAAGTTGTACCTTCCTAAACAGAGAAGTTGCCTTTTAAATACAATTATTCTGTCCATCTCCCTGAAATTTGGCAGATATGATGTCTGTAGGACACCATCTAAAACCTGTAAATTTAATGATTAGGATTTAAAATGTCATGTTTCCTGTAGCAAATAAATTGTAGTTCAAATTGCTGTTAAAATGTTAGAGAAATAAATAAATAAATAATTTTTTTCTTAGCATATAGAATGATTGATGATCAGATTATGTATATCTCCTTTGGGATCTTATATTGTCCTACTTCTAAACCACTATGAAATAATTTATCATAGAATTATATATGGAACCTATGTAATTTAGGTTCCATGGGGATGGGATAGTAGCTATGATTACATTGTTTCATAACATATTATTTTTATTTTTTATTTCCCCAAAATATGAAAACAGTTTATATTTCATTTCTTTAATGCAGATCAGTATTTCTTAGCGCAATGCATTTCTTTAGAACCTATTGTTAATTTCTCCTTATCTAAATGCCATTTTCCACATCTGCTTCTGTTCAGAGCAAATACTTTGCTGGTTTAATTATTTGTTCACATAGTTCTAATATTGCTATTGTACAAAATTAGGAAAGTTCAGGATTTTTTAAATGTGTGAATAGTTCATGAGATCATTCATCTAAAATAGCAAACTATCTCATTATGGGATGAGATGCTACAACCTCTACTGCCCTTGTTAAAGAGTTTTAAGCATTAATTCAAGGCATTTTGAAACCAGGTTTCCTGCCATGAGCTTTGGCCCCCAGAAACACAGCCTTTTCAGTGGAATTGTCAGCCTGGGCAAAATGTCCCTTCTCAAAGTGCTAAAATTGTTCCCAGTTGTCTATCTATGCAGGTATATAAACAGATATAATTTCAAGCTTGCTTGTTTTCTTGCAGACGTTTGATTATCTAAATTAGGTAACATCATCAGTGCTAGTGTTACCTAGTTTGGGTAATGTGAGCACCAAGGACCCGTCATGTCAACCCTGAGCTACAAATATTCTCCTTTATTAGATAACGCTTCTTCCAAGACTACCAGCAAGATGAAATGGTTGTGCATGCACACATTTGAACAGAAAGCTAGGAACAGCCTTTGAACCAGTTGCACAAGCCTTCCAAAGGATGTAGCTGCTTTAATACTTTAAGGAAGACTACTTCTTTCACACCCATAAACTTTGCAAAGCCCTCTTTCTAATATTTTGCACAGTTCTACATATGTAATGCTTAATGTCAGCACTTTTACAGTTCTATTACTCTTTGTTAATACAGCAGCCATCAAATTTCCTTCCATTTAGTTTTTTCACCAAATATCAAGTAATATGCATATTCCATCTAAAAATAAAGGCAATAACAGCTTTGTTTATATCTTACCTGATGGAACAAACTGAGTAACTCAAAAGTTTACAGACTGTCTTTTAAACTAGAATGTGCCTAATATAGGCATTGATAATTATATTATTATCTTAATATATATTTTAATGTAGCTCTAATATCTAACATGTCTATGTGTGACACATATATGATTAATTCAAAAAATCTCATAAACTGTTCTTTAAATCCTAGAAAATATGTATAAAATTAAAAGCCAGCAAAAGCACAGACGTTTACTAAAGCACTAAATGCATGGACAGGACAAAATACCTGGTGAGCTCTTCCTTAATCTTCAGGGGTTCATGCGGGTAGAATTTCACTCTAAAGCACATGGTATATGGTGGGTGAGCTGAAATATTATATAAAAAAAGCATGAGCACAGCTATATAAAACATGACTTCTTGTGAGATGCAACTTGTGAGATGCAGTGCATTAAATTAAGAAGAAAAAAAAGCAAATGATAAATAACAAAGCTCAAAGTATGGCACAAAGTTCAAAGCATAAGGAAGCTAAAGCTTGTTAATGCAGAGATTTATATCACATTGTAATTTTTATTTGACTGGTTTATATAAAAATCCTCCTAATTATTCTGTCTATCTGGATTGAATACAAAAACCAGAGTTGGACAATGGAATTATCAACCCAGAATCCTGCATCCTAAACTTAAACAGGAATGCAACAGGGAAAGATTTCTGCAACAAGGAAAGACACTGACTTTGCCACTAAAGAAAATTCAGGTAACTTTCTAAGTAATTTAATATTTGTTGCAGCTGTTATTAAAACTATTAATTTTATATACTTTATCAATTACAGAATAGCAATTGATTTACCATATCTGTTGATCAGTATCATTTTGAAAGTAGAAAAGTGTGTCTTATGAAATATTATTTGTATTATTTATTAACATGGTTATTGCTATTTTATAACAATTTACAGATTGTTTATTCAATGGGAAAATATATAACACTGTCTCAATGATAATACAACCAATAGTTTGCAACTTATTGATAATGCAGTACTATGCATGTTTACTGAAAAATAATCTCAATCTTCCATACAGTTCAACCTTTATAAGTGTTACTAAAATCTTTACCACATTCGTTTTTATATGAGAGTTGTACACTAGAAGTAGTCCTCATTTAGCAACCACAGTTGGGACTGGCAACCTGGTTGTTAAAATAAGCGGTCACTAAGTAAAACCGTGACTGTGCTTATGATCTTACTTCAGCTTTACTTTGCTGTATAGATCTGTGAAGATCATAAATGTGAGGGCTGGTAATAAAGTTACCTTTTCATCACTGTTGCAACTGCAAACAGTTGCTAAACACAGCAATCATTAAATGAGGACAACCTGTACTAACTTTTGTGTTTAATTAAGAAATAGTTAATCAGCTTTATGATAGATAAACATTTTTGCATTATTATTCATCAACATTTTACTGTATTATTACCATGCTACTCTTTTTTTATCAAAATGAGACATAGTACCCCGACTCTATTTACATGCCAAGGCCTGGTCTTCTTTGCATGGGGAAAAATATGTTGCCTTATGCATGGCTCTCAACAGAGGGACAAAAAGGGACAAGTGACCACCCCAACGATGCCCTTGAAGTGATGTCCCAGTGCCTGGAAGCCGTACGGATCTGGATGGGGAGAAACGGGCTCAGGCTCAACCCATCCAAGACCGAGTGGCTGTGGTTTCCGACGTCCCGATATAGTCAGCTGGCGCCATCACTGGCTATTGGGGGCGAATCATTGGCCCCCACGGAAAGGGCTCGTAACTTGGGCGTCCTCCTGGACTCACGGCTGTCTTTAGAAGAGCACTTGACGGCCGTGACCAGGAGGATTTTTCATCAGGTTCGCCTGATTCGCCAGTTGCGTCCCTTTCTGGATCGGGACTCGTTACGCACGGTCACTCATGCCCTCGTCACCTCTCGTCTGGACTATTGTAATGCTCTCTACATGGGGCTCCCCTTGAGGTGCACCCGGAGGCTCCAACTGGCGCAGAGTGCGGCCGCGCGGGTGGTTAGGGGAGCAACATGGAGCTCCCATGTAACACCTCTCCTGCGCGAGCTGCACTGGCTCCCGGTGGTCTTCCGGGTGCGCTTCAAGGTTTTGGTTACCACCTTTAAAGCGCTCCATGGCTTGGGACCTGGTTACTTACGGGACCGCCTACTACCATCAACAGCCTACCACCGACCAGTACGCTCCCACAGAGAGGGGCTCCTCCAGGTGCCGTCGGCCAAACAATGTCGGCTGTCGGCCCCTAGGGGGAGAGCCTTCTCTGTGGGGGCACCGACGATCTGGAATGAGCTCCCCCCAGAGATACGGAGGATTCCGGATCTGCGCACGTTCCGCCGCGAGTTGAAGACGCTTTTATTTCATCAAGCTGGCCTCGCCTAAATCTTCTCCCTTTTAAATGTAAATTCTAAATTTTTAATGGATTTTAAAATATGGGTATTTTAAATTATGGGTATTAATTCAGCCAAATTTATTTAATTCATTTTATTCGATTTTAAATTTTGTATATCTATGTGTTTTATTTCATGGCTGTGCACCGCCCTGAGTCCTTCGGGAGTAGGGCGGTATAGAAATTCAATAATAAATAAATAAATAAATAAATAAATAAATAAATAAATAAATAAATAAATAAATAAAAATCATCATGTCACCTTGCAAATACAGGAAGTCCTCGACTTAGAACAGTTCATTTAGTGACCATTTGAAGTTACAACAGACCGAAAAAAAGGACTTATGACCATTTTTCACATTTATGACTGTTGTAGCATCCTCATGGTCACATGATCAAAATTCAGACACTTAGAAACTGACTCATATTTATGATGGTTGCAGTATCCCGGGGTCATCTGATCCCCTTTTGCGATCTTCTGACAAGTCAATGGGGAAACCAGATTCACTTAACAACTGTGTTACTAACTTACAACCACAGTGATTCACTTAACAACTGTGGCAAGAAAGGTCATAAAATGGGGCAAAGTTCACTTGACAAATGTCCCACTTAGCAACAGAAATGTTGAGCTCAATTGAGAGCATAAGTCGAGGACTACCTATATATAATTTGGGTGGTGATGTGATGACACACAGGACATATCACAGCTTGTACTATACACTATGAACTTACATTTCATACAAATCCAAATGTACAGCTCTTCCTTGTTTACTTTTGATATAGTTTTTTCCCTATACTTTCAGATAACAACTAAACAAGACCGAGATTTCAATCTCTCTACAACTGTAGACTTATTAACAAAGCAAATAAGAATCCTATGTGTAAAATGTCTTAGGCAGCTACTAAAGGTTATGGAGCAGAAAAAATTGTTTCAAGTAGATGCTTTCATTTTCATCGTGTATCATATTGTTTCCTATTCACCATATATTGCTTTTCCTTCCTTCCTTCCTTCCTTCCTTCCTTCCTTCCTTCCTTCCTTCCTCCCTCCCTCCCTCCCTCCCTCCCTCCCTCCCTCCCTTCCTTCTGATTGTGTTTCCATGTATGCATTCATATTTTTGGTCTAATAAATATTATTCAAAACTTGCTTCTTTATTGATGCTTCCTCAGGTTTTTTTAATATTTAAGACCCCCTTGAATGCTGGATAGTTCTAAACCAAACAAAAGCCAGTATGAAAACACAGTTTCGTAGAAACTTGCCTTGTATTATTTGCGTTAATTGCTCTCCAGGGATTTAGGCAGTGTTCTATACTATGGTTCTATACACCAGGAATAGAACTTGGGTTTTATTCAAGATTATCTTGGATTCTTTAACTGAATTACAACATTTTTCCTTTTCTACACTTTGATACATAGTATAAGGTTTGCAAGAACTGAACTTTAAGCCAATTAAAATGAGAAATGAACAAACTAATATTGAATAGACGGGAAAATTACAAGATAGATATTCTGAAATTTTTATTTATGCAGTTGTATTCAAGACTTTTAAGTTTTAGCTGTTCACGTATTACAATAACTTGTAATATTTGTATAATTAATCTAAGGAATTATAACAAAATAGGTGACCATTGGAATTTTTTTTCTAAAATAAAAAGAATAAGAAATGAAAGCCCAAGAGTAAAGTCAAGGATCACTAATGCAGCTGCAATGGATCCAAGTTAGCAATAATCTTGAGCATTTTTTGAACAACAGACAGGAACGATAAATGAATCTGGTTATTCCACACTCCAGTTTCTATTCAGGTGGCTATTGTAAAACTATTGCAGGAACTAAGTATGCCTAGTTTAATGAAAAGAAGGACTAGGGGAGATATGATAGCAGTGTTCCAATATCTCAGGGGCTGCCACAAAGAAGAGGGAGTCAAGGTATTCTCCAAAGCACCTGAGGGCAGGACAAGAAGCAATGGGTGGAAACTAATCAAGCAGAGAAGCAACCTAGAACTAAGGAGAAATTTCCTGACAGTTAGAACAATTAATCAGTGGAACAACTTGCCTCCAGAAGTTGTGAATGCTCCAGCACTGGAAGTTTTTAAGAAGATACTGGATAACCACTTGTCTGACCATTTGTGGTGTAGGGATTCTTGCCTAAGAAGGGGGTTGGACTAGAAGACCTCCAAGGTCCCTTCCAACTCTGTTATTCTGTTTACCAGAAACTCCATGCACATGTGTGAACAGCCTGCCAGAAGACTTTGCATCCCAGAAAAGCACATGTTCACTGATTATATATGTACAGTTGTAGATATAGATGGATACATTAATTTCAGATTTTAAAATGAAAAATAGTTCAGAGCAAGGAGATATTATACTGATGTGTATAATTTTACATCATTAATTTTTAAACATTATCAATCCTATGTAACAGTGACATAGCAAAGGACTGTGACCACCATGAAACACTAGTGGGTAGGATGACCAAATATATGACAATTATTATAGGTATTATTTTTATAAGGTTTTTTTCCAAATGGAAAAAAAGAGACAGATTAAATCAAATAGTCTGAATAATTCTTTAAGCTGCCACAAGTTGCACTTTTTAATTTTTTTTTCACATCCAGTTTTATAATAAAGAGACAGAACAATGATATTTTGATGTCATAATAGTAGATGGTCCAGGTTTATAGGCACTGTTTTAGGGGGATTATAGTTTTTTTTTAATTACACCATTTTTTCCTTTGTATTTTATGTGGAATAAGCAGGTAAAGGCCAGCTCAACTATGTACAGCATCCAAATCTTAGCAGCAGTACAAGCTAGGATTATAAAGAAAAGGATTTAGGACCACTGTAGCATGCAATCTTTAATATATACTTCTCTATGTTAAATGTCCCTAACTATTACTACTAATACAATGTGATATTCCTAATCTATATCCATTTGTACTTGCTCTAAGTCACGGGTGTCACGTTGCTGTGTCACGTTGCCGTCACGTGATATTTCACGATGTTTTTCCCATTTGTGGAGCTGGGGTGGGCGTGGCCTGCATGTGATGCATTGGGACTGCGGCCAGCCAGTTTGACACCTCTGCTCTAAACAATCCTTTAAACCTGCAAAAAAAATTACTTCATTTTGTTTCTACCTCCACCTCTTCCCAAGGGCTCTGAATTCTTAGATGAATGTGTTTCAAGGTCTATTTGCTGAAATTACTTGTGATAGGATTGCCGCCTGAATCTAAATTGTTCTGTTGTTTGTCTGAACTGTCAACATTGTCAGAGAATGACTTCCTCCTTTCCTGAACCATCAGTTCTGATCTTTGTGTCTCCTCCCACCAGGCTTTTCTGACTGGAAAGATCCGACATCCTCAGATCTATTACATTCTTCAGCCAGCCATTAGCTGTCATCAGCTTACTTCTCCGCATTCTGAACTCTTAATTTAAAGCAACCATATGTGCTTTCTTTAAAGTCACTGTCAGTGAAAGCCTACTAGAGTTACTCAGTCAGGCTTCTGGTCTAGTTATAGTATTTTAACCTAATCAAAAATATAAAAACTATCAAACATAAGTATATGATTTTTCACATCTTTTATATTATATGGATAAGAAAATTAAAGACTAACCTTAACTGCTACTTTATTCACAGAAATCATCAGCCTGATAATTAATAATTCCTTTCACCTTTCCCCCTTTAGAAAGATTCAAGGACAAAATCTAACTGTAAAAAGAATTCCAGCTACTGTACAAAAAGAGAGCTTAACAGACAAGAGAAGAGTCAAGTTATAAAAATAAACTCAGCTTCTTATTCCTCCCAGTCTTCCAAAAAATTGAGATAGGAACCTATTGAAGAAATACAATAAATTACATCTTGGTGGTGTCAGCTACCACATTTTATACCCTTTTAAAGTAAGTGCTAAAGATGATAAAAAGAGAAACATTAGCAACTCTTCGGGAAAAAACTGCACTGGGTCAGTTAAATATGTATTTATCATGCAACAGACCCATTGAGTAGTAGTCTGTCAACAAGCTACAAGTATAAATGTGAACAGTCAAAAAAAGATACTATATAATTTTTGCAAAACTATTCCCAAGCAAAAAATAAGGTGCATCATAATCAAATTATATATATTATAGTAGCAGAATGGCCTTTCATCTGTCAAAGAAAGCCCAGCTGTCATACTGAAAGCCCCAATGCTCTGCCAATCTTTTCTGTAATTTGAGCCAGAGTAATTTGCCAGAATAGATTCAAGATCTTAACTATTTTTTTTTTTAAAAGTTATAGTACTCTATTCAATACAGGTACAGCTATGCTAATAACTTAATAATTTACAAAACAATATTTAAGTATAAAGGAAAGGGAAAGAAAAAAATCTTCCTTATTCAAATGTGAATGTGTAACACATGCAATGACACCATGCAGCAGAGACCAGGTTCAATAAAGATACTACTGAATTTGAAGAGAATCCTCAGATATAATCAGAACTAATTTCAGCTAATTTATACATATTTTAAATATCACCCAACACTGAACAAGAAAGGAAGACATGGGGGGGAGAGACTTTCTAGAATATACCGTATTTTCCGGCGTATAAGACGACTAGGCGTATAAGACGACCCCCAACTTTTCCTGTTAAAATATAGGGTTTGGACTATACTCGCCATATAAGACTACCCCTCTTCCAATGCACACCAAATAAAAATTAAAAAACATCAACTGGCTCACCTACAATGTAAAAGCAGCTGTGCTAGTCCCAAAATGGCCCCTGCAACAAGCAGGAACCTCACAGCCACAAAAAGCCCCCCAAAAAACTTTCACACTCTACACACACACAACACAACTGGCTCACCCACAATGTAAAAGCAGCTGTGCTAGACCCAAAATGGCCCCTGCAACAAGCAGGAACCTCACACAGCCACAAAAAGTCCAAAAAACCAACTTTCACACTTTACACACACAAAATTCCACATACAGCTTTGTGAGATTTTGTGTGTTTGTGTAGTTAGAGTGAAACACTACAGAAACACACTAAATCTCAGAAAGCTGCACAAATATTATTTTATTTTATTTTATTTTTATTTTTATATGAAAGCTAAATTTAAAACTTCCTAAACTTTAAATGGCTAGGTCTAAAAAAGAACAACTAAAAAAACCCCAATTGACTATTTTTTTTAAAGCTCCCAAAGGGGAAAAAAACTTACCCAATAGAACAGGGGTCTCCAACCTTGGCAACTTTAAGACTTGTAGACTTCAACTCCTAGAATTCCTCAGCCAGCTTTGCTTTGCTGGCTGAGGAATTCTGGGAGTTGAAGTCCACAACTCCCTGCTTGCTTGATTGCAGGCAGGGAGTTGCTTGCTGATGGAGTAGATTCAGGCAAGCGAAGCAAGGCAAGCGTTGCGACTAGCAGCTGAGGTAAGCAAGCTGGAGGGGGAAAACTTTTTTCCTTTTACATGGCTCTGGCGATCCCAGCTGAGTTGCAGGGAACTCAGCTGGGATCGTCAGAGTAAAAGGGAAAAAAGTTTTTTCCTTTTACATGGTTTCTGGCGATCCCAGCTGAGTTGCAGGGAACTCAGCTGGGATTGTCAGAGCTGGGATCGTCAGAGCTGGGATCGCCAGAGCCATTTAAGGCTCGTCAGAGCCTTTCGGGCTGGTCTGCCTGGTTACAGGAGAACGACACCCGGCGTATAAGATGACCCCCGGCTTTTGAGAAGATTTTCATGTATTAAAAAGTCGTCTTATACGCCGGAAAATACGGTACTTATTAATTAATTTCACATTTTTGTACCCTGTCCCAATCCAGCAATATGGATAGAAACAATATCCTAAAAATACTGAATAAAAACAAAATGAAATGTGTAGAATTAACAGAAACCCACTAGATGGTCATCCAAAGAGTATGAAGTGTTGTTTTAATAGTTTTATAAAATGTTAGGAAAGAAGGAATTGCTTATCCATCAAAAGGGAAGAAGCTACAGAGCCACAATAATGAAAATCTATTTTGGTCTGTGTTCCATTCAACTCACACTAAGTGGGGATTCTGAAGAGGTCTTTTTTGTGATATTTTTATTGATAGTTAGATTCAGTCTTGGCAAGGCAGTGCCTGATGTAATCCAGTGCCCCACTGTAAATAGTTTTGTATGTTCTCACCAGCATTTTGAATTGGACCTAAAAATCTACCAGTATCCACTTGCAATATTACCTCAGTAACACCATTATTCTAATATGAGAGATTGCAAGACAAAGCCAACTATAAGAGGATAATTTTTCAGCTTTTTCCACTGAACCAATGTCATTGTACTTCAACAATTTATTTATTAAACAAATATATATAGCTGCCCAATTCATACACAGTGACTCCATACATACGGCATAGAGCATTAAAATTTCAGCTAAAAACCCACAATTTAAACCCCATCCCACCCCAATGAGACAAGCCATTTGATCTGTTCCCAAGCTGGCTGACAAAACCAGGTCTTCAAAGGCCTTGTAGAAAGGCAACAAGATTGGGTAATCTTATTTCTGGGGGAATGTTCCATAGGAAGTTACCACAGAACGATCTACGACAACTCGCCACTGTGAGCTCACTGCAGCTAACTTGCTGTGGCCAACTTGACTTGGCCAACTCGCCCTGGGGACAACTTGCCACAGTGCAATTCGCCATGGGGCAAGAATTACACTAATATCGAAGAAATAGTGGAACAGAATCATGAAAGAAAGGATGCCAAAAGAGGGACAAAATACAAATGACAAAATTTAAAATAACTTTTAATAATTAAATTGAATTGTTGGATTGTCCTGCGGTAAGTTGTCCCGTGGTGAGTTGGTCAAAGTGAGTTGTTCCGCAGTGAACTGGTCACTGTGAATTGGCCATGGCGAGTTGACTGTGGCAAGTTGGCTGGAGCAAGTTGTCCCATTCCACCACAGACAAGGCCCTTTTCCTAAGCCCCGTCAGACGTACTTCCTTGATAGTTGGGACCCACAACATGCACTACCTTCCTGCTCTGGTGGGTTGGATAGATGCAATTGGGGAGACACAGTCTGTCAAACAACTTGGCTCCAAGCCATGCCCGGCTTATGAAAGTACATAATTTTATATATATACTGTACATATATATACATATATATCATGCATAATTATACAATATATAATTGCTTCCCTACTTTATTTTTTCTAGATATCATGCATTTCAATATTTGATTGTATAATTAATTTGATTCTATAATTTTCTTTGTTAAGATAAAATATATTTATGTACTCAGCTCTTATTTTACAAAGCTCTATTCAAATAGATTTAGAAAGAGGTGTGAGTGTGAGTGAGAGTGAAAGAAAGGGGGATTCATTGGATTCTTATGTGGACCCTGAGCAAAGATACAATAATATGAAACAAAGGACAAATTTCAGCATCTGTACACCATGCATTGGGAATTGAAGATACATGCAGAAGAGCCGCATCTGCTTGAATTTTCTGAATGTTAGTAAGTCTGAGTGTTTTATCTAATCTTATTACACTACCATTTGAAGCAACACATTAAAATATGAGATTCTCCCTGAAGGTATGGGAAAAAAGATGAAATGATTGGTTCTTAAAGGCTTTATGGATATTTAAACTTAAACAATCCTAAAATAAGTATCACACCTTCACTTTAAAAGGCTAAGAAATTAAAATATTATTAAATTTTTGAAAGATCATTATAGAAAATAGTAGATCAATATAAAAATTGTAAAAGCAACAATAAAACAGTAAAACTTACAAGTCACTACAAACTGATTGCCTTCCTAAAAACAGAAGTCTCATATTTCAATGGAAGGCCATCAGGTAAAGATAATGTAGGTTAGCATTAGGGAATAAGGAATTCCCAAGCATATTCAGTACTTCTTGTAATATATAACTGATGTGCTAATGCATTCCATCTCCCTTTGAAACTTACTTTAAATGATATTATTTATTCTAAAGATTAAAAAAATACTTGCAACAGCTAAAACTGCAGCACAATGCTATACATATTTAAACAGAAGATGTTCCATTGATTCAATGGCCATTAGTGGAATATGTGAGTATACAATTTGAGCCCTAATTATATCCATTTATGCATATTGATCTTTCTTCTGTAATACAATGCTAAACATTAAAGCACTAATGCCTTTGTTGAAAATTGCAATTCTACTGAGAGTATGTGGATAAAACTTCTCTTTTTGTCATAGAATAAGTAAAGCATATGTCAATAGATCAAGCTGTAGACCTCACTGTCTAAAATTAAGGATTTACAGACTGAAAACAGCTTTCTTTGAAGACTTAGGATTCAATCCCTAGTAAATCATAGTAGTTGTGCCTACAGATCAGACAGCCATTCCACAAGAAGTAACCACAGCATGACAGCTTAAATGAAATTAAACTTTATCCCTTAGAACAGAGGACACTCTAAATGAATTTTTGGGAGGTGGGCAGGCGAAAATGTAGGACTCCTATTTCCCACTCTTTCTAACATAAATCCGTATCCCTTCAAGGGACCGATAGTTCAAATCCCCATTTGTTCCCTGAGCAGGATCTGTAAAAGAAGAAAATGCCTA